GCACCACGAGGTGGATAGGCCAGACAATTTGGTTGATAAGGCGCAGATCCTGAACTAACCTGTAAGCCTTGTCTGGTTTTAGGACAGGTAAAATGGGGGAATTGTAAGGGAAGTTTATAGGTTTTAAAAGGCCACGCTGTGATAACAGGCTTTAATCCTTTTAAAGCATGCTGTGGGATGGGATATTGGCATTGAGCAGGGTAAGAGTGATTAGGTTTTAATAGGATAGTAAGGGATGCATGATCAGTCGCTAAGGAGGGAGTAGAGGTGTCCTATACTTGTGGTTTAAGGTGGGGAGATACGAGGGGAGGATGTGAAGGAGGCTTTGAACTGGGGGAAAAGGTGGCAATGAGGTGTGGCTGTAGCCCAGGAATAGTCAGGGAAGCAGATAATTAAAATGTCTCAACCTAATAAGGGAGCTGGGCAGGTCGGGATAACTAAAAAGGAGTGCATAAAAGAATGTTGTCCAAGCCGGCACTAGAGTTGGGGAGTTTTAACAGGTTTAGAAGCCTGGCCGTCAATACCCACAACAGTTATGGAGGCAGAGAAAACAGGCCCTTGAAAAGAATGTAATGTGGAGTGAGTAGCCTCTGTATTGATTAAGAAGGGGATGGACTTACCCTCCACTGTGAGAGTTACCTAAAGTGTCTGTGATGGTCCTGTAGGCTTCCGAGGCAATCGGGCAGCGTCAGTCTTTAGCCACTAAGCCAAGAAGATCTGGGAAGGAGTCAGTCAGAGAGCCTTGGACCAGAGTTCCAGGGGCTCTGGGAGTGGCTGCCAGGCGAGGTGGACAGTCCGATTTCCAGTGGGGTCCCATACAGATGGGACACAACTTAGGAGGAATCCCAGGCTGCAGGCATTCCTTGGTCCAGTGGCCAGATTTCCGGCACTTGAAGAAAGTTCCTTGGGGAAGCGGTCCTGGAGGAATGCCTGGTCACTGTGGTTTAGGCATTTGGAAGTTCTTGTGTGCTGGAGATGTGGCTGGGATTTTGTCTCACAGTGGAGGCATGTAATTGTAACTTTTCTTTATTATTGTACACCTTGAAGGCAAGGCTAATTAAGTCCTGTTGTGGGGTTTGAGGGCCAGAATTTAATTTTTGGAGCTTTATTTAACAATAATTATTACATTGCCCTTAATATTTACAGGTATAATATGTATAACAATAGCACAAATACTGGGGAAAGAAAATAAAGCTATATATATATTATTTAATGTCAGGAGTGGATTGGGTAATAAAATAAAATGCATATTGAGAATAAGACGGCCTTCTGACCTTCCAGGGTCTAGGGCTGTAAAACGTCTAGGGTTGCTGCCAAATGAGCCATGAACTGGGCTGGGTTTTTATATTTGATGAAAAAGAGCCTAAATGCTAACTGATTTGGGAGAGGTCGGATAAAGAAAAAGGAGCATTAATCTTGACTATGCCTTTAGCTTCAGCAACCTTTTTAAGAGGAAATTGCTGGGCAGGTGGGGGAGGGCTAGTGGTAGAATGAAACTGTAAGCTGGACCGGGTGTGAGGAGGGGAGGTGATAAAAGAATTATAGGGTGGGGGAGTGGAGGCTGAGGAAGAACTGGGACCTGGCGAGGAGCAGCCTGGGGAGGAGGGGAGAGGTCAGATGGGTCTGTAGAAAAGGAAGATTCAAAAGACTCAGCGACGCTTGGGGCTGGGACTGAGGGGACAGGTGGGAGGGGAAGAAGGAAGATTTGGGATAAGTCTCATTGGGAGCAGAGACTAGGGAGGGACCAATGTGTAAAAGAATGCCTGGACATCAGGCACCTCAGACCGTTTGCCCATTTTACAACAAGAATTATTTAGGTCTTGTAGGATGGAGAAATTGAAAGTGCCATTTTCTGGCTATTTGGAACCATTGTCAAGTTTGTATTGGGGTCAAGCAGTATTGCAGAAGAAAATTTAGATTTTAGGTCACGTGAGAGTTGAAGAGGTTTTAAGTTCTTGAGAACACAGGCCAAGGGAGAAGGAGGAGGAATGGAGGGTGGAAGGCTGCCCATAGTGAAGGAGGCAGGTTTAAAGAGAAGGGGTAGAGACACGGAGAGAAGGGGTGGGGGGTGCTTGCCCCCTAGGAAAGTGGTGCTTGCTGCTAAGGGTGAAGGACCAAGGCAGGCGTCCCCGCGTGGTCAGACACCTCTGAAACGTGGGTGAATAATCAGGCAGGCGTCCCCGTGTGATTAAACACCAAGGGAAGACTGCCTTCTCGAGTCTGTGACCGGCGCCGGAGTTTTGGGTCCAACGATAAAACGCATCTCCTTTGTCTCTACCAGGAAAGGAAAGGAACTGAAATGAAGAGAAGGGAGAGACTGAAGTGTGGCGCCAAGATTGAAAGGAGAAAAGAGGTTGAGAGATAGTGAGAGAGCTTGGAGAAGAGACTAAAGAGAGGCCGCTTACCCGATTTAAAATTGGTGAGATGTTCCTGGCGCTGGTTAGTCTGAGGACCAGAGGCCATAGGTGGATCTTTCACAGAACAAAGAGCGGGAGGACAGGGGATTGATCTCCCAAGGGAGATCCCCCAATCCGAGTCACGGCACCAAAATTTCACTCGCGTCCCATGTGAAGAGACAACCAAACAGGCTTTGTGTGGGCAACAAGGCTGTTTGTTTCACCTGGGTGCAGGCGGGCCGAGTTCGAAAAGAGAGTCAGCGAAGGGAGATAGGGGTGGGGCCGTTTTATAGGATTTGGGTAGGTAAAAGAAAATTACAGCCAAAGGGGGGTTGTTCTCTGGTGGGCAGGAGTGAGGGTCACAAGGTGCTCGGTGGGGGAGCTTTTTGAGCCAAGATGAGCCAGGAGAAGGAATTTCACAAGGTAATGTCATCAGTTAAGGCAGGAACAGGCCATCTGGATGTATACATGCAGGTCACAGGGGATATGATGGCTTAGCTTAGGCTCAGAGGCCTGACAACATGCAGAACCATCTGTGAACCAGGCCTTAGTCTTTTCTTCCTCTGTCCACTTATCATAAGGAACTCCCCATAAGGCCACTGGTGCAGGCTAGGGGAGAGCAGACAGGGTGGCAGGAGTGGGGACCATGGGCATTTGAGCCACTTCTCATGTAACTCACTTGTGCCTTCAGGACCTGCTCAAGCCCGATCATGTACATACCACTTCCATTTGATAATGGAATGCTGCTGTGCATGCCCCACTCTATGGCTAGACAGGTCAGCAAGCACCCAGTTCATGATAGGTAGTTCAGGTCACATGGTGACTAGATGACCCATAGTCAAATGTTCAGTTTCTACCAAAACCCAGTAACAGGATAAGAGCTATCTCTCAAAAGGAGGGCATCTTTTTCCCGTGCTGGATGCTTCCTGCCCTCGCACACTGGACTCCAAGTTCTTCAGATTTCTGCTCATATAAATTAGAAAACTCAAGCAGTTCTTTTGGAGTGTAGTGCACTTCCATGGGGGTTACACTTTGAACTGCTGGGACTTTAGTTATAGGTCTAGAAGCAAACAGGGATGTTGGGGGTGGTTCCTGAGGAGAATAAACATTATCTTGCCTGGCAACTGCCTCAGGGGAGGCCATCACTGTTGCCTCAGGCAGCACAGAGTTTATCTTCTCAGACAAAGATGCAAAGGCTGGTGGCAGCATGGGTTGGGGAGGGGATGTTGCCACTATTGGGGATGGGGAAGCTGCTTCTTCTGGTAAAAAAGATTCATCAGAGTTTACAAACTCAGTGTCTCCAGCTTCATTTGGTCCTTCCACACGTCCCCATTCCAAGGTTCAGGATCCCATTCTTTTTCAATCAATGCCCTCACTTTAAGAGTAGACACCTGGCAAGGCTGTGCATGCACCTTTCATTGCAGGTCAGCCACTTGCATGATAAGAGCTTGTGTATGTTTTTCTACAATTTCAGCTCTTTATCAGTGTTCTCCACACTATTAGAAGTACAGTCCTTAACATTTTTGTGTTTAATCATATTAAGCAGCCAACTCCAGAAACCCCAAAACCAACAAAAGAAACTCCATCCTTAATATTCTGTTCCTCTAGAACCACTCCTGGTACCAAAATCTGTATTAGTTAGGATTCTCTAGAGGGAAAGAAGTAATAGAAGATAGATATAGATATAGATAGATGGGAGTTTATTAAGTATTAACTCACATGAGGGCAGGAAGCATCTGCACAGGAGAAAGATGTAGGCTGGGAGGCTAGGCCAGTCTAGTCTTTTCACATTTTTTCACCTGCTTTATATTCTAGCCATGCTGGCAACTGATTAGATGGTGCCCACCCAGATTAAGGATGTGTCTGCCTTTCCCAGCCCACTGACTCAAATGTTAATCTCCTTTGGCAACACCCTCACAGACACACCAGGATCAGTACTTTGAATCCTTCAATCCAATCAAATTGACAGTATTAACCATCATAACACACAATCACTTTTGGATGAGAGTTGTTTTAACAGGGCTCTCTTCATCTGTCTCTTTCCCTTATGTCTCTGTTAAGCTCTCTGCCTCTTTGGGTACAACACCAAAAATTAAGGAGAAGTGTGTCACTGTTTCACCACTAAAAATGCAGTAGTATAGTTTTTGAACTATATAACAAAACTAAAGCAGTTGAAACATTGTCAATTTGCCTGATAACATAATGATATAAGAGGGAATGGGTAACCAATGAAATAATTATCAGTTATATTCATCTTGTTATCATGTTCATAAGCTAGCAATTCTGCTTTTGCAAATACAAAGCAACTTTACTAATTGGCCATAAATAGAAAGTAAATTGAAGAGCATTTGAAATATTTCTGCAAGCATATTCTAAGGTCATTATAGCATTAGACTTTTATGAATAACTTTTTAAATAAATGAGCCCTAAAGTTAATTTTCTATTGAGAATAAATACTAGAGTTCAACTAATTATAGGAGGCAATTCATGAAGACTTTTTCTCATGTAATAATTACATATAGGTACTGTTGTCATTAGAGATACATACTTAAACTCCAGAGAAGATAGTAAACCATAAATAGATTTAAAAATTCTTATTCTTACCAGGGTGACTCTTTCTCTTTAACTGTGTCTTCATTGCATTATTTATTGTACCTCTCTCAGTTGCACGATGCAATCGTTCATCAGTCTCTATAAAAGCAAACAGATTTCAAAACACTTTTCTAACATAAATATTAACGTGTGTGTGCATGTGTCTAATACTATCCTAATTAATATTCTTCATTAGAGTAGAAGAATTATAATAAAATGTCCAGATTGTAGCAACATAGGAACTTAAATTGAAAGGACAATTAACAATCATATAAACCTCATTATATGTATACCATATAGCAAGTAATAACAAAATTGAGGCACAGACTTATGCTACCTTATTTCTTAACTATTTTTTCCATATAATGCAATCTCATATGCAAATTTAAATCACACTAGTTTGTGGTAATAACATAACTTTCAAGGATATATTAAGAACATATGCATGTTGTAGGGGTATATCTGGTGAGGTGGAACATAAATTTTTTTTTCATAATTGACCTATCTGTACACAACGGTCATCACAACTCACAAAATGTGATAAAACAGAAGTTCCTTGACTCATCCAGAAATATTTTAATAGTTTATTTTAGGTGGTGTAACTATAATTCAATTAGGCATCAGTGATAAAAAAAGAATAAGAAATAACGCATGTAATGAGAAAAAGTCTCTTCTCTCTGGTTCTCTTAGCAGGTAGACTTTGTAGCTAGAAAGAAGAAAACAGGAATATTTGCAGTAGTACCAGCATTAGGATTGTATTCCTTTTCATTTGACTTTTATGTGATTTATACACTTTGTTGGATTTAGAAACTAGTATCTAGGTATAATGATGGAAAAACTAAAAAATCTACTAAAAGGAATTTCATATTGAAAAAGGGATAATTAGAATTGGTAAACCTGGTTTATTAAACCTAAAGTTTTTGGGTCAAAGTTGGTTCTAGCAGAGCATGTAATGGTAGTTGGACACCTGTAATGATGCTGAACAATAGAGTAGAAGTCTTGCTTTGGAATATTGGCCGAGCCCATGATTAATGTTAAAATTTGCACTATTATCATGTCAGCCCAAATAAACCGCCAATATAATTCAAATAGAGATAATTTACAATATAATTCAAATATGCATAATTTACAGATTATGCATCATTGTAAAAATGCATCATATTGGCCAGGTCAGTGGCTCATGCCTGTAATCCCAGCACTTTGGGAGGTTGAGGTGGGCGGATCTCGAGGTCACGAGTTCGAGACCAGCCTGGCCAACATAGTGAAACCTCGTCTCTACTAAAAATACAAAAATTAGCAGGGCGTGGTGGCAGGCACCTGTAGTCCTAGCTACTCAGGAGGCTGAGGCAGGAGAATCACTTGAACCCAGGAGGCGGAGGTTGTGATAAGCTGAGATCACATCACTGTACTCCAGCCTGGGCAACAGAGTGAGACACTGTCTCAAAAAAACAAAAACAAAAACAAAAAAAAAACCAAAAAAAAAGCCCATCATATTGGACAAAATGAGTTTTCAATAATTCAGTAACAACATTTTGTAAAAGTAAAGCTATATGCAACAAAAAACTGAGGAACATTAACAGGTGCATTTCAGCTCCTTTGTCTTTCTCCTACAGATACAAGTAAGAAAGGCTGATTCATTTGAATTAAGAAATCAGAGGATTTTTAGATAAGCAGGGAGTCAATGAGGAGAGCATTTTAGAGTTAAACACTAGGAAGACAAAGTTATGTGCTGGAGAAATTTATCAACTAGTAAAAGTCACAATTTTCCTCCCTTACATTATTATCCTGTTGCTTTAAATTTTACAAAATCTTATCCTGCTTAGAGTTCCTGAGCTTTTAAAAATGTGTATATTTTTAAACCATACTATTTTTCCATTTAAACTGTCCAATTCAATGCTTATTACAGAAATATGTAATTATTACCTCAGTCAACTTTATAATCCTTTTCACATTTACACAAATTGCATTCTACTGAGATACAGAAACACTACTCTTTTATATATAGCTTTATTCTCTTTCCCCAGTATTTGTGCTATTGTTATACATATTATACCTGTAAATATTAAGGACAATGTAATAATTATTGTTATAATTATTTCTTTGTATAACTTTATACCTTTTAAATAAACTGAGAAAAGAAACAAGACCAAGTACATGTTTATAGTATTTGTTATATGAACACACTTATTTACATTTTTTGGTTCTTTTTATTGTTGCTCTGTATTTATCATCCAGTGTTATTTTCTTACAGTGCTACATCACTTCTCTCTCCTATCACCTTTGTGCTGCTATTGTGAATATATTACAAGTTGATATGTTATATGCCCAATGATACAATTATATAAATATTTTTATACAGTTGTCTTTTAGATAAATTAAGAAAAGAAAGGAGGTGGAATATATATTTATACATACTGTCTTTTGCAATTATAACATTTAACTCATACCTTTTTTAGGGGGATTCAAATTACTGTCAAGAGGTCAATTCCTTTTAGCCTAAACAAATTTCTTTAGAATTTCTTGGAAAACAGTTCTGCTAGAAATGAAATCTCTCAATTTTTATTTATTTAGCAATTTCATTTTTCACCTTTTCTGAAAAATAGTTTTGCTAGCAATAAAATTATTGCTTGGTAGATTTTTTTTTCCTTTCAGCACTTTCAATATACAACACCATGGCCTTCTGGACTTCATAAGTTTCTAATGCTAAGACAGATGTTAATCTTACTGGAGTTACCTTCTATGGGATGAATTGTTTTTCTCTTGATGCATTTTACATTTTCTCTTTGTCTTTCAACATTTTTACAATGATTACTTTGGTCATGGATTGATTTGTGTTTGTTCTACTTAGATTTAATAGAACTTGGATGTATAGATTAATATGACCCAGTAAATATTTTTCAAAGTATTCAGCCATTTTTCTTCAAATATTTTTTCTTATTCTCTCTCTACTTGGAATACTCTCATTCTGGTATTCGCATTATATTAAGTTTGCTTACTCCTTCTGACAGTTCAAATCTTTCCTTGACCCTCTAATGAATTTTCCCTTGCACTTATTTTACCTTTCAATTCCAAATATTAATTTGGTTCTTTAAAAAGTTTAATTTGTATCACAATGTTGACATCTATTTGATAAAAGAGTGTCATTATACCTTCTTTTTCTTCTTTCAGAAGAGTTTTAATTATTTGATGATATTATTATTATTATTTGACTACTTTGTAGTCATTGTCTGCTAAATCTAACATGTAGGACTCTCACAGGCAGTTTTCCTTGCCTTTTTCCTGGTGTTTGTGTTACAGAGTACTGTTTCTGTGCATGTCTTAACTTTTTTGCTAAAATCTGGACATTTTAGATAACGTATTATAGCAAATCTGTATGTTGGTTGACTCTTCCTTTTTGGGGGGCTTGTTGTTCTTGTTTTCTTGTTTCTTGTTGGTGGTGGTGGTGGTGGTGGGGTGTGTGTGTGTATTTGTGTATGTGTGTGACTTGACAGAAGTATTTTCCTAAAGTCTCTATCCTCTACAGTGTAAAGTCTCTTATGTTGCTCTTTAAGGGCATCTCCTTGGGCATCAAACAGTCTCCCTTGGATGACAGTGGTTTTAGCAGGGCACTCTTTGAATGTCTCTTTCCATTATTTATTTGCTAAGGTGTCTTCTTTTGGTATCACACCAATGGTCACAGAGAAGTGTGTCTAACCCTGTAACCCCGGGACTAAATTCAGTTGTGTAATCTCTGAAAAATATAACTAAATAACTTTATTGCAGCTGAGATGTTACAAACTTGACTGATATTTTTACCATATAGAGTGAACTGGTAACCAATAAAATTATTATCTGTTATATTCATCTTCTTATCACATCTATCATCTGGACTTTCTGCTTTTGAAAAGCTAATTTTACATTGCTAGTTGAAACTAGAGTTGAAATATTATAGAGGGGAATTCACGAAGACTTTTGCCTATGTAATAATGTATAGGCACTGTTCTCCTTGAAGATGCACACTTAGTTACACTCCAGAGAACAAAACTAACCAGAAATACTAAATATGTAAAGTTTTTGTTCCTACCAGGGAGACTCTTTGATCGTGTCTTGAATTCACCCTTTAGTATATCTCTTCCAAATGCATCTGTCAATTGTTCTATTTCAGACCCTATAGAAATAAACAGATATCAAAACACTGTAAGGTAATCATTTATATACAAATGTGACCGTGTGTGCATGTGCATATATGTGCGTGTGTTACTAACTTAAAATATTTGTGGCTGGGCGCAGTGGCTCATGCCTGTAATCCCAGCACTTTGGGAGGCCAAAGTGCAGGTGGATCATGAGGTCAAGAGATTGAGACCATCCTGGCCAACAAGGTGAAACCCCATCTGTACTAAAAATACAAAAATTAGCTGGGTGTAGTGGCACATGCCTGTAGTTCCAGCTACTCGGGAGGCTGAGGCAGAAGAATTGCTTGAACCTGGGAGTCGGAGGTTGCAGTGAGCTGAGATTGTGCCACTGCACTCCAGCCTGGTGACACAGCAAGACTCTGTCACCAAAAAAAAAAAAAAAAATACACACACACACACACACACACGCGTATATATATAAAATAAAAATAAAAATTGTATTTATAGAATAATTAAAATGAAATGTCTTCACTGGAAAATAACAAAAACCTTAAAAAGGAATGGATGTTAACAATTATATAAGCCAGACTATATTCAGGCTTAGATATGTTTAATGAATTGAAATATCATATAGCCAGGGAAAGGCACCACTCATGCACAACCCGATGCTGTATACTTTCTTAACCAGTAATTGTTCTATACAATTCTATCTCTTATGCAAATTGAAATTATCCTAGGGACATTATGATGATAATGTATCTTTCCAGTTTACACTAAAAGCATACTCAATCTGTAGGTATGTACTATGTGAGGGGGAACATTTTTTTCCATAGGTCAAGCCGCAAACCATGGCCTCATTAGTCACAGAAACTTATCATGAGGCAGAAATTATTTGACTCATTGAGGAATATTTCTTTCCCCTTTTTACATTATGGAATTGTAAATTCTTTAGATATTAGTTATGAAAAAATTACAAGATATTTGTCAAACTGAGAAAACCTGCCCTCTGAGGTCCCTTAAACGAGAATCAAGGAGGTAATGGTCAGATTTGCAGCACTACCAGAATTGTTATTGGATCCATTTCCATTTAAGTTTTTATGTGGTTTGATATTTTCCAGGAATTAGAAACTGCTAAGTTCAATGAGATAAAAATGTATAAAAATTATTAAAAAGAAATTCATTTTGAAAAGGGGATAATGAGGATTGGTGACATAAGGTCAACATTGGGCTTAAGATTGTGTGGGTAGAATTGGCTCTAGCAGAGTATGTAACTACGATTGGACACCTGTCATAATCCTTCCATTGTATTCTAGAGTGGTTTGTTGTTGTTGTTGTTGTTGTTGCTGTTTTGGAAAAATTGGTGAATACATGAATAATGTAAATGGTTGCATTATGACACCAGCTGCTCAAATATGTCACAACTGCATTCCATACTGAGCACTGCCTCATTACCAAAGTAAAAAGTGATCCATAAGATTGAGCAGAACAAGTTTTCAGTAATTAAGTAACAATATAAGAGATACAGCAACTCAAAACTGGAAACATCAGCAGACGTGTTTTTTTCTTCCTTCTTTCTTCAACTGATATATCAAAGAAAGACCGGTTCATTTGAAATGAGCAAGCAAATGATCCGTACACAATCAGGGAAAAAATGAGACCATCTGAGGAAAGATTGGGTTAAATACTAGAAATTAAAAGGTATGTGCTGGAGACACTTATAATTTAGCAAGATTTACAATTTTTCTCCTTTCCAATATTCTCACTTTGCTTTAAATCTTTTAAAAATCTTTTTCTGCTTAAAGTTCACTGAGTATTTTAAGCGGTCTAAAATCTTAAATTCTATGGATTTTAATACATTCAGTAATGTCTGTCACCATCATCACAGTCCATTTTAAAAAGTACTTTAAATTTATACTAAATTCCAGTGAAATATAGAAAAGCTACTCTTCGATAGCTGTATTCCCTGTTCCCCATTTGTGTGCTATTGTTATACACAGTACATTTGTAAATAATAAAGACATGGTTATAGTTGTTGTTATAATTATTTATTTATATAATTTTATGCTTTTTTAAAAAGTTGAGGGAAGAAAGAAGTATATATTTCCAGTGTTTATTATATTAACCTTCTTATTTATAATTTCTGGTTCTATTAATTTGTTCCTGTGGTTTCAGATTATCATATGTTGTCATTTTCTTTTTTTGTTAATACATAATATTTGTGCAAATTTATGGGGTACATGTGATATTTGGTTATATGGATAGTGCGCATAAAACTCAAGTCAGATTATTTAGAATATCTATCACCTCAACGATTTCTCATCATTCAGTATCATGTTAGCTGTGGGTTTGTCATATATGGACTTTATTAGTTTGAGGTACGTTCCTTTTATGCCTAAGTTGTTGAGAGTTTTATCATGAAGGAATGTTGAATTTTATCAAATGTTTTTTTCTGCATCTACTGAGATGATTATATGGTTTTGTCCTTCTTTTTGTTGATGTACCTTGTTTATTGATTTGCATATGTTAAACCACCCTTACATCTCTGGGATAGATCCAACTTGATCATAATGCATTATCTTTCTGATAGGTTGTTGAATTTGGTTTGCTAGCATTTTGTTGGGGATTTTTATGTTTATATTCAACAGAGATATTGACTTGTACTTTTATTTTTTTATGTCCTTGTCTGGTTTTCGTATCAGAATAAATGCTGGCCTTGTAGATTGAGTTACAGAGAATTCCATTCTCTTCAATTTTTTGGAATAGTTTGAGGGGAATTGGTGTTAATTCTTTAAAGTTTTGGAAAAAATTGGCAGTGAGGCCACCTGGTTGTGTTGGGAACATTTCTAGACCTCTCCCTAGCTATTTTGAAATACAAAATCATTGTTATTAACTATAATCAACCTCCTCTGCTACTTCTTAATTCAATCTTGGTAGGTTATATGTGTTCAGAAATCTGTCAGTTTCCTCTAGATTTTCCAATTTATCAGCATATAGTTGTTCATAATATTTTCTGATTATTTTTTGTAACTCTGTGGTATCAGTTCTATTTCATTTCTGATTTTGTTAATTTGTATCTTCTATCTTTTTTAAGTTAGTCTACTTACTGTTTTTTTTTTAATCTTTATCTTTTTAAAACACCAAGTTTTGATTTGGTCGATCCTTTGCTTAAGTATCTATTTCACTTAGTTCTGCTCTGATCCTTATTTCTTTCCTTCTATTAATTTTTGTTGATTGGTTTGTTTTTGCTTTTCTAGTCTCCTGAGGTGCATTGTTTATTTGAAACATTTCTACTGTTTTGATGGAGGTGTTTATTGCTATCAACTTCCATTTTTAGCATTGCTTTTGTTATATCCCAGAGGTTTTTTTTTTTTCATTTTCATTTGTTTCAAGAATTTTTTATTTCCTTTTTAATTTCTTCATTGATTCAGTGATTATTCATGAGCATTTTGCTTAATTTCCATGTGTTTGCACAGTTCCCAAAGTTCCTCTAGTTACTGATTTCTAGTTTTAATCTATCATGGTCTGACAAGAGACATGATATGATTTTGACTTGTAAAAATGTGTTAAGACTTCTTTTGTGGCTTAACATATGGTCTAGCCTGGAGAATGTTCCATGTGCTCACAAGAAGAATGTGTGTTCTGCAGCTATTGAAAAAAATACTTTGTAATTATCTGTTAGGGCCATTTGGTTTAAAATGATGTTTAAACTCAATGTTTCTTCATTGATTTTCTGTCTAGACGATCTGTCTAATGCTGAGAATGAGGTGTTGAAGCCTCTAGCTATTATTTTATTGGAATCTCTCTGTTCCTTTAGATTTAATATGAGCTTTATATATTTGCATACTTCAATGTTGGGTGAGTATAAGTTTAAAATTGGTATATCCTCTTTCTGAATTGATCCTTTTATCATTATATAATAATTATCCTTGTCTCTTTTTATTTTTTTTGACTTAAAGTCTGTTTTATCTGAAATAACTACAGCTACTCCTGCTCACTTCTGGTTTCTGTTTGCATGGAATAGTTTTTCCATTCTTTTACAACCAGTCTATATGTTTCTTTACAGGTGAAGTGAGTTTCTTATAGGCAGTATATAGTTTGGTCATGTTTTTAAAATCCATTCAGCCATTGTCTGTTTACATTCAATAATAATATTGATATGTGAGGACTTATTCCTATTGTTTTCTTATTTTCTGGTTGTTTTCTTTATCCTTTGTTCCTTTCTTTCTCTTGTGTTGTTTATCATTGTGGTTCGGTGATTTTCTGTCATAGTAACATTTGAGTTCTTCTTCCTCATTTGTGTGTTTGCACATCCAGTTTTATGACAGTAGCTATCCTTTTGCTTAAGTGTAGTGCTCCTTTAAGCATTTCTTGTAGGGCCAGCCTAATGGTGATGAATTCCTTCAGTTTTTGTTTGTCTGGAAAATACTTTATTTTTCCTTCATTTATGAACAATAACTTTGCTGAATATATTATTCTTGGCTGACTGTTTTCTTTCAGCCCTTTGAATATATCATCTTATTTTCTCCTAGCCTGTAAGATTTCTGCTAAGAAATCCACTGTTAGTCTGATAACAGTTTTCTTGTATGTGGCTTGTATCTCTGTCTTTTACTTTTGACAGTTTGACTATAATATGCCTTGTACAAGACCTTTTTGGGTTGTGTATATTTGGGAATCTCTTGTTGACATGGGTAGTTTTCAGCCATCATTTTATTAAATAGTTTTTATATGCCTTTTCTCTTGACCATGTGGAACAACCACGATTCAAAACTTTGGTCACTTATGATGTTCCATGTGTCACATAGGCTTTATTCATTCTTCTTTATTCTTTATTATTTGTTCTTTTTCTCTCTCTCTCTCTCCCTCCCTCCCTCTCTCTTTTGTCTGACTGTGTTATTTCAAATGACCTCTTTTGAAGTTCTGAAACTTTTTCTCCTGCTTGGTCTAATAATTGTTGAAGATCTTGAATGTATTTTTTTTCATTATCATACTTTAAGTTCTAGGGTACATGTACACAATGTGCAGGTTTGTTACATAG